AGAACAGGCCACCCGGAGAAGCTGTGGCTGCCCCCTCCCTGGCAGCGTTCAAGGCCAGGCTGGATGGGGCTTTGAGCAACCTGGTCTGGTGGAAGGAGTCCCTGCCCATGGCAGGGGGTTTGGAACTAGAAGATGTTTAAGGTCCTTTCCAACCCAAACCATTCTATGATTCTACGATTCTATGAATAAAGTAGTATGACCAGAGTTCAGTAAAATGATATGTCTCACAATCAGGTTTTTTCCCTCATAAAATTTGAAGTTTGATACATCCTGAGTATGAAATTATTAACCATGAAGAATGAATAAACCAATGGCCAGCCATCCTGTTCCTTCTGGCATATAAATGTACTTTAAATAACACGTTCAGATCACTGCAGGCTATTAATAATGCATTGTAACTATGTAATGTGAATTATTTTTGCATCTTGATAAGATTACTTAGTAGAAATTAGTTTTACAACATAAAGGACTTTACTATAGTGAATTTTACAATATTAATGACTGTGTACTTACGTCAACAATCAGGAAGTCCAGCCAGCACCAGGCATTAGTAAAATATATTTGAAAACCATATGCTACCCATTTTAAAAGCATTTCCAAAATGAAAATATATGTAAAAACTTTGTCAGCATATTCCAGCATGGTCTTAATAGTTTTGCGCTGTTCAATATATATATCTTCAAAAGCCTATGAAAAAAGTATATTCAGGTATCACTAACATTTCACAGAATATATATTATAAAAATAAGAATAAATAAAAAATAAGTAAGTCAGAGCTAATCTTTCTCCTTGTTCTTCTGCATCCTCTTATTTTACATGTTTCCCCTCTTTAACCATACTACAAATTGGAGCAACTTTCTGTATTCTGCCCTGTCTGGGATTGAATATATAGATCTTGTTTTCCTAATGAATGAAGAAATAAAGTCAAAGCACAGATTTTTGTCCACTCTGGCATTAAGAAACCTTCACGTACACACAAAAAAAAAACCATATCTTATACAAAATCTGTTCCAGATATCTATATTCCATTCTAGAAAGCAGTTAGGGAGATTACATTTCTATGCTCCATCAATCAAACTTATGTCTAAAAATCAAATTAAAGAGCAATGTATTTCTAGAATGTACACTGTGCACATTGATGCTATAGCAAATGTTCAACTTGTGTAAAGCTGGAAAGGTGGGTAATATAATCTTGTTGGAAAGTTGTTGTTAGGTTTAATCTGCTGTCACACTCTCCCCTATCTTCTGCCACCCGCAAAAGGAACAGAATGTAGTAATTATTCCATTTTTTTTTGTGTGGTCTTTCGTAAGCAGAATCCTAGAAGTGACCGAGCCTATAAGGAATTAATGCCTTAACATCACACATAAAGCTATATATTCACAGTTAACAATGGTCCTTTATACTCAAATTTCTTGATGAACATGCTGAAAATCGGCAGGAAATTTAAATCCTGAGTTCCTATGCTGGCTTAAATAAAACTGCACCAGCTTTACAGTGATATACCAAAAGTATCACTAAAAAAGTGCACGTGAAATTTAACAAATTTTTCAAGTTTGGGCTGTTTCATTCCAGCCTGAAATGATGGAATGCAGGTAGTTTTATACAGCTCCAAGCAAAACAAGTCTTTCTGAAGCAAATTTTGCTGTTGCTTCTAAGGAGATATAGAAATATTTCAGGAACTGCAATTTTTTTCTACTTACTAGTGCTCCACTGCTGAGGAGAATCATGAAGACGATGAAAGTCTCAAACCAGTTGTGCTCAACTATGCTGTAGCAGGTTTTTCTAAGATTCCACCAAATTTTTCCTTTGCCATCCTCTATACTTACTTGACAACATGGAAATTTCTGCACGCAACCTGCATTAGATTAAGAGATATTAGGATCCAAAAGCAAATTATTTCAAAGTCATTATTTATTGTAGTATCAACATTGTTAGAATCTTTAACAAATTTTATAATAATTTTTTAGATTAAACACTGGAACCCTCTGTTATATTCAGATACTAAATATCTGAATTTAGGTAAGTAATTTGGAGAGAAACCAGAAAATACTAGACGTAATTATGACTAAACTCAATCCAAAAAACATTGACATTTTTGACTGTTGGCATGAAACTGTTCCAATTTGCTGATGGAGTCTCACAAAAATTATTTTGATCCAAATTTCAAGGGCCCTTTCAAATAACTGAAAAGCATTTTAAGAATAGAAAAGTTAATGATGTTTCTTAGTTACAAGACGTATGCAGTGGCCAGGCAGATAAAGTTACTCAAAGCTCAAGGAAACCTTGTTTTGGCATCTGATTTCCAGCATTCTAGGCTAAGAGTATTTTCTTTCAATTGTTGAGGTCATTAAGGTCAACATGCCTAGGGATAATGCCATTTTACTAATATATTTCTTAAGTCAACAGTTTTTCTACAACCTTCTGTAAAACAGGCTTCTGGTTCAAGAGCTTCTTCACTTTCAATTTCTGCTTGCTCGCCCTCTCCAGGAGGAGCAATATCAACTGTGCTGCCTTCTGATGAACTGGATGCATTTAGTTTCTGCAAGTAAAGTTCCACAGAACAATTTTTTCTCATTAGATACATATACCATAAAAAATGATACTGAATGAAATCATGCCAGTCTCTGACTTTCGAAGAACACTAAATTTATACTGATAAATATGCATCACCATAAGTAAAAACGTAGTAATGACATGTACATTGCATAGTTCTGTTTCCCAGTTTATCTTCTCATAGGGAACAATTAAATATAATTTGGCTACTAACCTGATCCATGAATAAGACTTCTGAAATATTTTCAGTAGTGTTAAAACTGGAGAGCTTGCATGTCCCACACTCCCATGTTATTTCATTTTCTTTACTATACTGGATTATGTTGAAAATGTGTCTTAGTTTTCCCAGTGAAATGAACTAACAGAAAGCTCCACACATATCTTCATGTCCACTATACATGGTGTTTTCACAAACATACACCATATCTGGATTAAAAAGTTGTAAATTTAATGGCATTTAATGGCAAATTTCTGCACAATTTAATTTTTGCAGAAAGCACAAATTACAACATCCAAAATACCTTCTTTGGATTCCAGTCTCCTGTGTATATTGAGAGACCTCCTGAGGTCCTTTCCATCCTGAATTCTTCTATCATTCTACTACTTTTGTTTTGGTAAAATACTATAGTCCTTACTGTGATAAAAGCACTTCTAGATCTGAGAACTTCAAGAACTGGAGAGTGCTATAAAGCAACCGAAATTAAATAACTTTTTACCAAGTACATCGAAATTTGGATCAGGTCAAGCTGTTTATCAGTCATGCAAGACTGCCCATAATTTTGTCCTTTTAAGAATGCATATTTTGAGAGGACAAACTGCTAAATATGCACACAACTAATGCGATAATTGGACATAGAGTTTGTGACTTGTTTTCAGTTGTCAATACTGTTTGCATCTTTAATTACTTTCTTCCAAAATACATTCTCCTTTACTGTGAAATAAGGCTTGTAATCAGAAAGCAACATTAAAAAAAGGATGGCAGTGATATACTTCTGGTTTATAACATGTATCAGTAATACATAGGAATTTCAATGGGGACATTGAATGCACCTCTAACTTAAATACTTTAAATTGCACAGGCACTGATGTAACAAAAGGGCATTTGGTCACAGACTAGATATGTGGTTTCAGCTAAGCAGATCTGGTCATGCCATTTGATCTATATGAAGACCTTTCTATACAAACTTTTTGAAAGGATGCTTAATACCAATTACTTTTCACGTTTATTTTTCAAGATAGTGACATTTTTAGAATATTAAAAAAAATACTGTTCGGATGATTCGAATGATTTTGCAACAAATAATAAACAATAACTTTAAAAAGAGGTATTTCCATGTATTCTTTTCTTCAGAGACACTGCTGCAAATTAAAACTAGTTATTTAACTCTTCAGTTAAAACCCAGTACCTTCAGGAAAATGCATGGGGAGCTAAGGGCTTTTTTCTGCCAGAAATGAAGTAAATGGCACACATATCTTTATATAGTATGGTAAGCAATTCTTTCCTCATATTCAACTCTTACATGAGATGAATGAAATTAAAAAAAAAAAAAATCATGTTGGGTGACGGATAATTTCAGGGTTGTTTCGATAAGCTGCCCTTCACACAGATGTGCAAAGGTAGTCAATATAGGGTCACTCTGACCTCAGGTTGCGTGGCTGTTACTGCGTTGTGATCAAAAATAAATGACTTGTCGCATAATAGGAAAGATTTCTGACAACCGCACAGGTATGAGTTTGAAAACCATTCTTTCCCTTTTTAAATATCATGATCTGTCATACATGGAAAATCATGCTGACAAATGTGAAAAGATTTGCATAAATACACTGAGATTTGGATGTTTCCAATGGTTAATTTTTGCTTAGTAGACATGTTAAAATATCAGGTTTCCTTTTTCATACTGTATTTCCTCTATGATTTCCAAAATTTATATACATAAAATAGTTACAGCTGTGTTGCCTCTAAATGGAATAATTTTATTGGTGGTCATGTAGATTAGTAAATCTGAAATAAAATATTATGTACCTCATACAGTGAGAATATTTTAAACTTTTGCTTTCTGTATTGCATTACAGACCAAAATGCACATTAATGTACACTGTATTAAGTATTATTAGCACACCACCTTGTTATCCACACATAAGGCTCTTTTTTAAAAAGGAAATAGGATTTGTGAATTAACTCTTATTATATATCATTGTAATACAAAGAAGAAGTCTGAAACCTGTCACTGAAATTATAGGCAGTTTCTTCACTAAATAAAAACCAAATGTTGTGAAAATAATAATCTCTCACATTCAAGTTAGGAAAATTAAAACTCATTCATGGCCTGATCCATTATCATGAAATCAGTTACTGATTTATTATTAGCAAGTTAAAGGCTCATCATAAGTGTCAAATATTAACCTACATGAGTGTCAATTAAAAGGCAGTCAATTTTTCAACTGCATCTTCCCATGTAAACTCTGTTGCATAGTCCTGTCAGCATAGTTGCGAGGAACCAAGTGACAGAAGTGCAATTTATAATCAGTACAAAACAAGAACTACTGTAATTCTCTTCATTATTTTCACATAAAGCATTCTCTTAATTATTTTTAAAATAATCTCAAACAATTGCATTATATAAAAAACCTCATTAAGTTAATAAAACTCCTCTTCTTTGCTTCAAGACCCTAAATTAGGAAAGAACCATTGCATTTTAAATAAGGTGACTTTAATGATCTTTTTTTCCTAGCTGTAAAACTAATCGGCAACTGAAGATACATGATGGATTAACACAATCTTCTTTTCACCTCATGAATGTGATTATCAGCCTCTAGAACACGCCATGCCCTGTTTGCATAAATACTTGTTTGCATCTTCAGTGATATCACGTTTTCCTTTACAAGGATACATTTGAAAGCAATTGCTTATGATGCAGCAAGGCCTGAATCAGCAAAACAACATGCTTGACTAGAGCAGAAGCCTGAGCAATACTGTGGAAATCACACACAAAAACAAAATAAAAAAAAATAAGACTACCTCAATAGGATTACATTTTCTGAAAACAGTTTTATAAATATTATTGTATAGGATATAACATAAAAGAAATGCTTCATCACCAATCCAAATACTTGGTTAATATATGTATAATCAGCCTCTCTACCATCCTTTCAGAGCAGTGCATCTCTTTTCAACAGCTTAGATTGTTAAAACAAGCTTTGACCAACAGCATGTTAATGTGCCCATTTACAAGAAAATGCATTCACTTAAGACCTGGTCTTGCTCTCATTTGATTTTTTTCTAGATTTCAGTAAGAGCAAGAGCAGGCTACTAAAATTTTAAGCTTTACAAACGGCTTCATGATTCAAGTGACAACAAAATAAAGGGATTCAGCCATTACAAATTGCCTTTAGTAATTCATCCATGTGGTTTTATCCTTTGAATCTTGAAAGCTGCACTGTAATTGAGTGACAAAATATAAAATAATGGGGATTGATGATTCCAAAGTGATTCTAAACTGACTTTAAATCGCAGTTCTTATGATATTTGACTTTTACATAAAACTAAGAAAACCACTTTAAAAATCTCTTTCCTTAGAGTTTTATTTGGTGTTTGAAGCATATCTTGGTTTAAAATTTAATCAGTAAAATCTGAGAATTTTCAGAAGACACAGCAATATGAATTTCTTTTGGCATTTCTGGACAATTTATACTACAATATAGTATAGGTAGATCATGCTACACTATAATCAGTGGTACAAAATGAACTATTTCATTATCCTTTTGAAGCCAGTGAGACTCTGCCTGAAGGAAACAGATTTGAATCCTGCTATAGGACTGAAATCTCAATCCCAAAAAATTGTGACACCTAGTTTTGTTAGGATAATTTGACCTCCTTAGTTTCATGTAACTTTGGCACGTGTGCAATATTTGCTTTCCCTGTTCCTGAACGTTCTGTCAGTTATGCTTCAAAGGAGATTACACTTGCCTATAATGAAAAAAAACCCAAACACCTAGGGTAAATACACAAGGAATTTTATAAAAATGATGCTGACTATTCCATAGTCTTTCTAATTTACACCAAGTAATGTCCCCCAACTCAGTCATAGACTGCTATCGTGAAACACATTCCAAAAAACCACTATTTATGAAGGAGTTTAAAGTTTAAGAAAAGAGTATTTGTAAAATGCTTTGCTTTGAGAGTTTTTAAGGGGGGTTATTTGCTAAGTATAATTTTAGCAAATATGAAACTATTCGCTCTGCTTACAGTTTATAAAACTCAAGATATGCACTGCCCAAATGAATACAGAATGTAGTTCATAGCATCTTGAAGAATTGCATTACAGTGCATTGTAGATTTGAAAGTATAACAGTGTAATTTTTATGCAAGTAGCTACTGCAGTAGTTTAAATGTTATTCATTAAGGAGCTGAATTTATGGCAGTAATCATTGCATAATCACTTAACACGTTTCATTAAGTATTTACATTTATAAGGGCTGAATCAAAAAGGGTTGTTTTTATCTTTTAAAAACTATGCATGCTCCCTTTTTCTTTGTCCTCTTTAACGTATAACATTCCAGTACTTTTATGATCCATACTTCAAAACCTGTAGAGCATGCAGTTATTGCTCAGGACTGTATTAAAGTACCCAGAAAAATCATCAGCAGAGTTAAAAAATGTATGTCGGGGTTGCCACTCCCGCCTGACCATGCTGTGATGTGAGTCCCATGACTCAGCAGAGAGCAGCTGTGCATGTTTTTACTGTCTTGCAATGGATAGGGAAGGTACATAGCTGAATAGCATGCAGGCCAGTCAAAATCCATTAAAAAGTGATTATATATATATATACATATATATGTATAACTTGCTTAGGTAACCTGTGTGAAAGTGGTGACACGTTGCTCTACCTGGTTAAAAAGCACCAGAGCTGCATTCTTGATTACTCCAGCTTGGTTTTACCCCTGTGAGAAGTAAGAATGGTAGGTAGTGAAGTTCAAGACACAGGA